GTGCCTAGAATCATTCAACACATTTACTGAGGCCTCGATACCATGCCAGGCCTTACTACGGGGTATCAAAAAGAGAGAGAGAGAGAAAGAGAGAGAGAGAGAGAGAGAGAGAGAGAGAGAGAGAGAGAGAGAGAGAGAGAGAGAGAGAGAGAGAGAGAGAGAGAGAGAGAGAGAGAATGACCTCGCAGTCTTACCTCTGTGTACCCAACATGGCTAGGTGGAACAAGGGATGCAGAAAAGCAGGACCCATAGTCCTCACCCCTTGGACAACCGTGTTTGCACTGTATACATGCAGCCTACTGTGTGCAGACTACCGTAGTGAGAGCCTGTAAGGCTGTATCTAAAGGCTGTTCTCTGTAAGACAGGAGAACAGTCGAGCTGTTTGGAAAACGGCAGGGCATATGTGTCACCCAAAGGAAAGGAAGACAGAGGTGAAACACAGTGCCTTCTCTCGGGCCCTGCTACTCCAGGGGAACCCTACGTTCAGGTCGCCCCAAAGTCCTTGGAAGTGTCCTGTGCAAAGCTGAGTGACAGTGGGTGACCCACTGACGTAGCTCTCAAAGGCACCCTTCCTGACAGAAGACTGCTGTACGGAAATCAGGGCCAGTTGGCCCTGGCTTAGACATTGGCTGATCTGTGGGCTCGACCCCTGCCCTTCAGTGGGAAGCCATCATTGGCAGCATGGATCTGGTCCAGTCACCATACGGGAACATCGTATCCCTGAAACAGCAATGGAGGTTATCAGGGGCTTGCCTGGCAAGGGGAAGGTTGGGGCGGGAGGTGGAGTTCACTATGGAGCTGGAGTCAGAAGGAGCAGGGATGTGGGGAAAGCATGGCCCTTGGAGAAACACTCAGAGCTTAGCAAGGCACTGGGCTCCTGGAGAATTTGGGCCAGGATGACATTGCATATCCCAGGCCTTTGCTTTCATGTTGCAGCGACTTCCAGAAGCTGGGCTTGTGGGCTTTTCTCTGGCCAGCATCTCCTAAACTGTCACAGTAGCCAGCTGGAGGCTGACACTGGCCAGGAAGTGAGAGAAGAGGCAGGGCCTGGCTGAATCCTCCAGGAGGGGTGGGGATGACGTTAATGCTGTCAGGATAAACACATGTATTGAGTAGTAACTACTTTCAGGGCTGGGGTTAAGAGCTTCGGGGTCCTTTCACAGCTTGTCACCCCTACAACATCTAGTCAATGTGGTGACCGCGATCGCATGGGGAGAGGCTGGTCACCTGCCCCAGCGACACCTTCACAGTAAGTAGTGCTTTATTTGATGCCTCTTTGAAGAAGAGTTCCTGCTTCTAAAAGGTTTTGAGTTGACTTGGAGAGAATGTGGCTAAGGCTGACCAAGACGAGCCTGGGTAGTAGGCCCGAAACTCCCCATTATATGAAGCTCTTCTTGCCCTGAATCACCCCGTTCATGCCAATGTGCAGAGCTTTGACCCTGGACTGAGCTGACAGAAACCGTACAAGGGTCCTGGTCCCATCATAACTGCAGCAAGGGCAGAGCACACATCTCCAATCCCAAAGCAGCTTCTTCCTTTCCTGAAAGAATTCTTTTTGCTAGTGTATATTCATTGTACGGAGTGTTGGATTTCATGAGGACATTTCTCCTCAGTTATATTGTGAACTTTAACCATATTCCTTCACCATTGCCCTCTTCTCTCTCTCTCTCTCTCTCTCTCTCTCTCTCTCTCTCTCTCTCCCTCTCTCTCTCTCTCTCTCCCTCCCCCCCCATGTAAATAAATATATAATATTTGTCTTCTGGGTCTGATTTACTTTGTTTAATATAATGATAGCTAATTCTGTGTATTTTCCTGCAAATGACATAATTTGGTCTTTTTGAGAAAGAGAGACAGAATCACATTTCTTTATCCATTGTTGTTGATGTTGATGGAAGCCGAGGCTGACTCCATAACTTCTCTCTTGTGAATAGTGATGCCATATTCATGGATGAGCAAATTCTCTGGATTCCATTGGGCATACTCACAAGGAGTGGGGCATAGCGATCATATGGTCAATAGAGTTTCAGTTTGGGGGTTTTGTTGTTTTGTTTTGTTTTAGAGACAGGGTTTCTCAGTATAGCCCTGGCTGGCGTGGACTCGCTATGTAGACCAGGCTGGCCTCTAACTCACAGAGATCCACTTGCCTCTGCCTCCCAAGGAGTTCTGGGATTAAAGGCATGCACCACCATGCCAGGCTGACCAAGTTTCAGTTTTTTGAGCATTCTGCATACCGGCTTCCACCGTGACAGCACTAGTTTACATTCCTACCTGGTAACGGATAAGGATTCCTGTTCCCCGCATCCTCGCCAGCATGTGTTGTTTTAAAAGTTTGACTGGTGAAATGGAACCTCCGTGTACTTTTGATTTGCATTTCTCTGGTGGCTAAGGATGTTCAGCATTAAAACATTTTAAGGTTTTTATGATGTATCGAGGGTGGGGACACATTGCAGCATGTCTGTGGGCGTGAGAGGAGACAGTTCCTAAGAGTCAGTTCTCTCCATCCACCACATGTGTTCCAAGGAATGAACTCAGGGTATCAGGCTTAGCGGCAAGCACCTGTCCCAATGAGCCGTGTTGCCAAATAAGATGCTGAGCACGCTTGCACGCAGCTATTGATAATCTATACTTCATCTTGCTGTTTATTTGCCCAGTTACTGATTGGGTTATTTGGGGTTGGTGTTTAGTTATTTGAATTCTTTAAATAGTCTAGGTCAGTGATTCTCAACCTGTGGGTCGAGACTCCTTTGGGTGTCAATGACCTTTCACAGGGGTCATATATCAGATATCCTGCATATCGGATATTTATATTAAGAGTCATGGGCCGGGCGGTGGTGGCACACGCCTTTAATCCCAGCACTCGGGAGGCAGAGCCAGGCGGATCTCTGTGAGTTCGAGGCCAGGCTGGGCTACCAAGTGAGTTCCAGGAAAGGCGCAAAGCTACACAGAGAAACCCTGTCTTGAAAAACCAAAAAAAAAAAAAAAAAAAAAAAAGAGTCATAGCAGTAGCAAAATTACAATTATGAAGTAGCAGCAAAAAAAAAAAATTTATGGTTGGGGGGTCACCACAACATGAGGAACTGTATTAAAAGGCTGCAGCATTAAGAAGGTTGAGAAGCACTGGTCTAGATATTAATACTCTATCAGATATATGGCTGGCAAAGATTTCCTCCCATCTCTATGCTGTCCCTTGGCACAGTTAACTATTTACTTCACTATGTAGATTTTTAACTTCATGGAATCCCATTTATCAATTCTTGGAGTTACTTCTTGGATGATTGGGGTCCCTGCTAGAAAGTCCTTTCTTGTGTCTATATCTTGAAGTGTTTCCGTCTAGTATTTTCAGAGATGCGACCCTTACTAAGATCTTTGACCCATTTAAAATGACCTTTTGTGCAGGGTAAGAGATATGGATCCAACTTCATTCTTCCGTCCAGTTTTTCCCGCTCCATTTGCCGAAGAAACTGTTTTATTCTCCAATGTATATGCTTGCCAGCTTTGCCAAAACAGCAGGTGGCTATAGTTGTATGTATGGGTTTGATTCCGGCTGCTCTCTCTATCCCGTTAGCTACTGCTTGGTTTTTATGCTAGTAACCATTCTGTGTTTGTTACTATGGCTCTGTTGTATTACTTGAGTTCTTCATCCACAACATTGCCTTGGCTATTTGAGGTTCTTTTGCTTATGTATGAAACCCGGGATTATTGTTTTTTTTCTAATTATGTGAAGAATGTCATTGGAATTTTTATGGGAATGACATTGAACCTATATATTACTTTGTGTCTTTTTCGTGGTATTAATTCTGCCTGTCCAGGATCATAGGAGATTTTTTTTCCAGCTTCTAGTGTCTTCTTCAACTTATTACTTTAGATTTGAAAGGTTTTATTATGGAGGCATTTTGCCTTCTTCATTAGGTTTACTCTACGATGTTTTGTTTGTTTGATTGTTTGTTTGTTTGTTTGTTTGGTTGGTTGGTTGGTTTGGTTTGATTTGGATGCTACTGCAAATGGGGTTATTTTTCTGATTTCTGTCCCAGCATGCTTGTTATCATACAGAAAGGCCACTGATTTCGTAGCTTTTAGTTGATTTTTTTTTTAATCCTCCTGTATTTTGTAGGAAGTTATCAGAACCATGACTTTTCTGGGGGAGTATATAGGTAAGCAGGGTTTTCCAGCCTTAGTAGTTATTTATTATGTGGCACCATTTACCTTGCGAGAGAAACACAAAGTACAACAAAACCCACTATCAGAGTTTATTAGTGGAGAGTAAAGAAGGGTGTGGAATAGGCCTACTGGAAGCAAATGGTGTGTGAGAAGGGGCGGGCAAATGGGTGGAATCTGCTTTTACGGGTCCCCCTGAGCATGCGTGCATGGGCCTATGCAGCTACACCACGCATGCGCACGTGGCCATGCTGCGTAAATTACATGATCATGTGGTGCACGTAGTACATAGGATGTGAGGCCCTGGGATAATTAAGCATCTTGTAGCTGAGGGAGTGGCTAGGAATCGTAACAAGTACCACTGACATTTGCAGGGACAGGAGATTCTTTGGGGAGGAATAATTGTTTTGTACACTATGAATGTTTAGCAATGTCACTGGCCTCTCCCCACTGACACTGCCCGAAGATGTCTCTAGATGTTGCCAGACACTCCTCCAGAGCCCAACCCCCCCGCTGTAGTTCTTTACCCTTCACTCTCTTGAAAGCCACGGTCTCAGACCAACCCTAAAAAGCACCGGATACCCCGCTCACCCTAGGCTAACTCCTCACCTTTGTACCTTCCCACACTGTGCCCAGGCTCTTCAGCCACAAGTGGTGTGAGGTGTGGGTGACAGACACTGGCAACAGCCTCAGTCTCCAAGATGTCCCCCAGGAAGCCAAGCACACCCCACCCCCACCCACCCCTTCTAAGAGTCACGTAGAAGTATTTCCAGTCAATTCTAGGTGCTGTTCTTATTTTAACCCACCCCCTTCAGTGCCCTACTCTTTCTTCTGTTCATACGCAGGAAGAGGATTACAAATCCGAGACATCCTAAAAGATGAGGAGACCCTGACGCTATTTCTCACAAGAAACATTGGCCTGTCTGACTCCGTTGCCCATCTTCTGGTCAACTCCCAAGTTCGTGTGGAGCAGGTGAGGACCATTGAAGAGAGGGGGAAGGTACCGAGCCTGAGAAAGACAAGGGAGATGTTCTCTCTTTTCCCTTGTGTTTCCATATTCAGAATTCATGGGGCGCATGCTCCATATTCAGGGACATACCTGGGGTTAGTGAGTCAAACAAGCATCTGATCACAGGACTCTGAAACATCCCTGGTACCCATAAGACTCACCAGGATTTTGAAAATGAAGGAAGCAGAGAAATCATGAGGCTGAGCCTACCCTGTGGAGTGGAGAAGCCTTGCCATTTATTAACTAATCAAATCTTCAAGGACAGCTGTAGATATCGCAGCGGTATGGGTGGGACAGACAAAGCCCCCTGACTCAGGATACTCACATCCCAGAGGAGGGTTGATGGAAATGGAAACTTCTGTTGTGTTTCCTGGATGTCAGGAGTCATTGTGTGAAGATAAGAGTACCCTTCCTCAGTAGGAAGCTGACCTGTAAGTACTTGAGGGAAGGGATGCAGGCAAGAACATGAGCACATGTGTGTGCATGCGCGCGCGCGTGTGTGTGTGTGTGTGTGTGTGTGTGTGTGTGCGCGCATTGTGGTGTGTGTGTGTGTACATTGTGGTGTGTGTGTGTGTGTGCGCACGCGCGTGCATTATGGTGTGTGTGTGTGTGTGTAGAGAGAGAGATGGCCTAGTGGATAAGAGCACACACTGTTTTTGCAGAGGTCATGTGGCAGTCTGAATAAGAACGGCCTTCATAGCCTCATATATTTGAATGCTTAGTCACTAGAATGGGGAACTGTTTGAAAGGATTAGAAGGATTAGGTATGGTCTTGTTGGAGGAAATGTGTCACAACGGTTGGGATTTGGGGTTTCGAAAGCCCATGCCAGGCCCAGTTCCTGCCTTCCTGCCTGCCTGCCTTCCTGCCTGCCTGCCTGCAGATCAGGATGTAGCTCTCTGCTATTGCTCCTGTTCCATGTTCCCTGCCATGATGATAATGGACTAACCTCTGAAACTTTAAACAACCCCCCCCCAGTGAAATGCTTTCTTTTATAAGAGTTGCCTTGGTCATGGTGTGCTCTTCACAGCAGTAGACAGTGTCTAAGACAGTACCCAAGTGTGATTCCCATCACCCAGACCAGTAGGCTGGCAGCTTCCTTTGACTCCAGCTTCTGGAGGAAAACAACACCGCCGGCCTCCTTTTGCACCTGCTCACACGAACACATCTCTACACAGATAGATGTACACACCCGCCTATAATTAAAATAGGTCTTAAAAGAAGAAGTGGGTGAAGCTGGGTGGTGGCGCACACCTTTAATCCCAGCACTCGGGAGGCAGAGGCAGGCGGATCTCTGTGAGTTCTAGGCTAGCTTGGTCTACAAAAGAGTTCCAGGATAGCCAGAACTGTTACACAGAGAAACCATCTTGGAAAAACAGAATCAACAACAACAACAACAACAACAAAAAAAAAAAAAAACTGGGTGAATAGAAGTTGGCTCTCATAGTTGCCACATCTGGCAAGGGCAGCAGATGGACCACCTCTGTATTCCTGGGCCACATGCTTACCAGTGCCAGACATGCCCATTCTAGATATTTCTGACCACTCCACAAATTTATTTCATTCATGTTATAATTTCCTATACTTACACAAATAGGTGACTTTCATACCTGTTTGCTCCTTTGTCCCTCACAGTAGTCCTGAAGTGAACACAAAGATGGGGAAACTGAAATGCCTAAATGATGGAGTTATTCTGCACACAGCTGTACAACTCAAAGTCCTCAGGCCAAGCGAAATACAGGGTTTCCCACTGTGAGAGCCACTGAGCTGGCTCTTGGAGTCCAGTGGTCATTAGCACGGGTGACACAGGAGTACCTATTAGAAACGCACGTTCTCAGGACCTGCCAGCTCAGTCAGTCCACAGTGTCAGGTACAGAGCTCAGCTGTGTGTGTTAGCAAGCTTGCCGGGAGACTGACAAGCTCGGGGGTGAGGGCCACTGCTCTCGTCCTGGCTCCCTCCTGGCTAGACGTGACTCCAGGGAAGACCAAAACATAAGCAGAGCATTTCAAATCATGAGCCAGTCTGGAGATGAAGGTCTGCAGAGGGTGCTGTTATCTGAGCCCAGATGAGAGAGGGAGGCCCCTTCCCACGTGGTGGGGACAGCTGATGAAGGGGTTTTTATGCTGGTTCCCTGAACCACCACGAAGGAGCCCATGCCGGCTTCCTGGCCATCTAGACCCTATGCCTGGAAACAGACAAGCAAAGCAGAATCTGTTCTTGATGAGGCCCAGAGAAGTGGGCCTGGCTGCCTGGCACTGCCTGGCTTCTGTCTTCACCACAGGGGAGATGTCATCAGCACCGATGGCTCATTTTTCCCGTTTGCTTTTTCCTCAGGTCATAAAACTCCAGTCCTGGCAATGCCTGAGACAATTTCCAGTTGGTAATAAAAGGGAGGCGGAGATAAGGGTTGGAATTTAGGGGAAATTTCCTTCAAGTTTGTACAGTCGTGACCTTTGGAGTTCCAGGGGCTGCCCTTTTGACACCAGGACTGAGGCCCTTCAGAGACAAGGAGCCAGGGTCACCAGGTTGTATCGCTAGTGGATGCTGAGCTGGAGTAGCCAACGCTCTCAGATCAGCAAGTTCCACAGCTTCCCTCTCCCTACCTCGAGGCCAGTCACAGCCCACACCCAGCTCCCATTGTATCTATCTATCTCCCAGGCCTCACTTCTCAGCTGGTCAGCTATCTCCGCCCATCTTGGCTTCCGCCCCATCTAGCTCTGTGACCTTTAGCCAACATGACCATTAGAACTTGCAGCCACGAAGCCAATATGTCTTTTTGGTGTCCCTTGCGGAAGCTGTGATTGATCGTCCTTACTCATCAAGAACGCTTTATTTTTCACCATCGGTAGATTTTTCCTTTTGAGCCTTTCTTCCCAGCATATGAGCACAGCTCTGGAGGGCATCTTAACACTTCTTTCTGTAGGCAGAGTTTTCCTGTCCTGCATTGGCTCTCAAATAAACACCCTGAGGCTTATATTAATTATAAATGCTCGGCCAATCGCTCAGACTTATTACTAACTGGCTCTTACATTTTAAGTTAACCCATATTCCTTATTTATGCTCTGCCATGTGGTGGTGGTACCTTTATTAGCCTGGCATGTTCATCTCCTGCTCCTTCTGCATCTGGCTGGAGACTCAAGACTCTGCCCTTCTTCCGCCCAGCATTCTCTCTGTGTCAGGCTATCTCGCCCAGTCTCTTCCTGCCCAGCTATCGGCCAATCAGCTTTTTATTGACAATGAGAGCAATACGTATTTACAGTGTACAAAGATTGTTCCACAGCATTTCTTTCCATATGGGGAATCATTGACTCATTCTGTCTCATTCCCAACTGCCTGACCTTGAAAATTCCTACACACACTTTAGGACCCGGTTCAGATGTTGCTTCCTCCATGGAGATGCTCACAAGCCTCCTTTCTTTGTCCAATCCTCACTTTTTCTTACTCACCAAAGAGTAAGTGTTGGTGAGTCCCCAGGAGTCAGATCTCTGCAAGGCCCACGTACTCTGTAACATCAGGCCACATCAGCCACACACTGGAACATCAGGACCACTCTATGCCTATTTCCTCACTTGTAAATGCAAATTCAGGAATGCCTATCACGTGTGGTGGTTATAAGGAGAGATCGAAAAGAATCAATATACACAAGGCACTTAGAATGTTGCCAGACACAAGATAAATACTGAATAAGCACCAAGGACTTGGTCATTGTTGGTTTTATGGCAGGCTGCCGTGTAGCCCAGGCTGGCCTCAAATTCACGGTTAGCTGAGGATGGCCTTGAATGTCTGATCTTC